TCTCTCTCTCTCTCTCTCTCTCTGTGTGTGTGTAACCTAGCTCTATCACTATCACTAATTAGAAAATTTTAATGTAACCTTTAGCTTCTCCTAATTAAAATAATTTAAAGTACCTGGCTCCCCCTAGGATGCCAATTTGCTAGAGAAATCAGCTTTCAGCTTCCATGTGGGAAGTTAGTTTGAAGGCTTAGCCAACAAAAAGAACAAAAGCTTCCATTTCTGAAGCAAGCTATTCTCCATTGTTGACCCATTTCCACATTAACGTTCTAGCCTGACTTAAATGTAAACACGTTTATCTTGATTAATATACACCTTATACAGTTACCCATCCCTCATTCTCTTTCAAATAAGTCCAACTCTCATCAACCCCAGGGGACAAAAGGCAGGCTGGAGAGTGATTTTTCTTTCCCTGGTATCAACAAATGGATCTGTTACTTTTTCATCGCTGCCATGAACAATTTAAAAAGGAGATATTTATTTTTGGCTCCTGGCTTCAGAGGTTTCAGCTCCTGAGTAGCTGGTTCTGTTGCCATTATGTTTGTGACAAAGCAAAAATATCATGACAGAAGAACATGGCCAAAGAAAGTTGCTCAACTCATGGCAGCCAGGAAACAAAGAGAAGTAAAACAGGAGACAGAGGCAAGACACATTGTTTAACAGCAGCCCCAAGATTCTGCTTCCTCAATTCAGACCCCCACTTATTGTCCCACCCCCCCAATAGTCTATCTATTCAAACTTTAAATCCATCAATGGCCTAAAACAACGATAGAGTCAGAGTCCTCACAATCCAATCATGTGTAGAGATGTCCACACCTGTGGTTTACAAACCTGGTTATCTCTGCATCAAGAGCTGACTTTATAGTCAGGAACTGGCTATACAGTTGCAGATCACCTCTGAATACAGAGATGACAGTGACGTCACCCACAGGCGACAAGGACCGGCACATCTGTTGCCATGGCAATCGCCATACATTCCCAGTGTCCACTTGGTCCACCTCCCACTTTTACCTTTGAGCAGTTATGTCACAGCCCAAATAAAAGGCAGACCCTCCTGACCTTGGCCTCTTTCCCTCTTCGTCTTCATTGCCCCTTTTGTCCTTTTTCCCTTACAATAAACCTCTCTCCTGTGGAACTGTACTGATCTGGTGTGATCTGTCTGGTTCTAACACAATATGCTCTAAATTCCAGTAAGTTGGCAAGATAACCCATCACAGGAGATAATTCATTAACATATGTTTTCAGATAAATGATTTTTTAAAAAAGGCTTAACTTTATAATTATTTTAACATCTGATAATGACAAGATAAAAATTAGCATTCTATTGAGTTGGGGTCATGATAAACTAGTCAAAGGAATATTTTTATCTCTAAATGGTCCTATTTGGCTATGGAATTTATATTCCAATGATAGAACATTTACAAAACTACCTTAGAAATGGAGAGGTCTATCAAGCATTATTTCTTCCTTTTGATTTTATTTATATGAAGCTATTGACTTTTATATTAATTTTATATCCTATTTTGTTACTGAATTCTCTTATTTTTAGTAATGTATCCAGCTTTTGTTTTCCAATTATATAGTTTTCAATGAGATATATCTTTTTCCTTCTTCCAGCTCTTGTAAGGTTAAATGCTTTTTACACGCAATTGTATTAGTTTCAACTCTGGTTTCCAGTGTTACATAGTGATTGACATATGGGTATCTTTCCCTACTGTTGGTAATATTTTTCCATTATGTAAGAAGTTGATTTTTTGGGCTGAAGTATCTTTCAATTTTTTTCTTTTACATGTTGAGTTTTATCAAATGCCTTTTTAAGTCTCTTTAGCTGATACTCAACTGTAGAACCTCTCATATTCTTGGGTTATATTTGTAATACTGTCCTGTTAGTTCCCTTTGGTGATGTTCAGAATTTATTGTTCTGTGGCCTTTTAATTACAATTATTTGTTAGTGTGTATACAAGTTCCTTTGTGAGAATATTCTTCATTCCCATGGCAGCTTCTTCCCAGAAGACAGTCTGACGCCTCTCCAAGAGTATATCTTTACCTAACATATTTGCTCATTTAATTAAGTGATAAAAAAGAAAACTATGTGGCTTAATTATATGTTGGTTGCTTCTTGGGGAGTAAATTGATTATAAATATTATTTTTTGTATCACCAAAATATTTGACACAGGTCATGATGGTCAGTTGATTTTGAAGCAAAATATAAAAGAATTATACTTCTTTGAAGTAAAGAAAAAAATCATGATAAAACACTTTCCTTTCTATTACATTAATTAAAACTAAGAGGTAGGACAAGTATCATTGCATGTCTTTAAACAGACTATGGACCTTTTTAATTGTCTATAAGTTAAAGACACTTATTGCCATCCCTGATACCAAACTCCAAGTCTTATTGAGTGATGTGTCTCCAACCTCTAGTGATCCTAAAGTACCACTGTGGCTCAGGCGCTCACGCCTAGTTGGTAGGTGGTTTGCACAGTATATGGGGTTATTCTAGTCAAATCCCATCACCAAACCATCAACCAACAGTTTATACCTTCTGTCCTGGGATTTAGGTTGGAAATTCTAGTGGAAAGATTAGGGAAGTAGGGGGGAATGGGATCTGTTGAGGTTTTGGAGTAGAGCAAATCAGGAAATCAGGCTTGGTTAGAATTTGGAACTCAAGCTATCACAGAAGCAGTGTGGTTACTTGCATTGGGCTTAATATTCCTGCATGTGCTGCATTTAATGCATAATTAAAAGCTAACGAGTTACCTTAAACTAGAAACAAATTTGCCATGCAGTCTGACTTGCAGGAAGATTGTGCGCCAAACTTTCATTTGGAAATTGAGAACTTCATTCTCATCAAATCAGGAAGAAAGGGCCTGTGAAATAAAATACAGTTCTGATTATATATAATTACAAAAATATCACTTGAAAGTAATTTTCAGGGTAGGAGAGAGGCTTTCATGACATGAGCCTGTGCCTTTTGAATTTTGTGCCAAGTACATGTGATATTTATTCTCCCTGAAAAGTTTGTTTTATTTTAAAATGTTAACAGTAACTGCTAAATATATATATTTGGAACATCTCTCTAGTGTGAAACTAAATATATATTGTTTCTTTAAATTCTGGCCTCTTTCCCTCTTCTGCTGTTGAACTTAAATGTCTGGTTATGGCAACAAATTTGAAATGGTATCTATCACTGTAAGACTTGCACACATTGGTTCTCTGCTAGTAAAAACAATCATGCCATCGTGAGGTAGCCTGTTTTGCTTTAACTATAGAATGGACTCCTTCCTCAGGAGCATTTCTTCCTTACCCTCTGGTGGGCTCTATTTTCCCAAGTAAAGGGATGTCAGGTAGTATAACTCTTTTGACTTTTCTATCTAGCTACTAACCAGGCCTAATGCTGTCAAGCTTCCAAGATTAGACAAGATTAAACACAGTCAGGGTGGCTTCACCACAGACTGTTTTGGCTTCTCTGGAAAGACTTGCCTGACTGTGAGTGTAGGATCAGGAATGAGAAACCCATCTTGTTCCCTTCCTTGTCTTAGGGACCAGTTGATTATAAGAAGCATTGATCTCTCCAGTCCTGGATACCCAAGGAGGTAGCCAGCCTGACTGGGAATGTCAGTGTGATTTTGAAGGTCAATATTGACAAAACTAGGCTGCAGGTCCCAACAAAATCACACCATGCAGCAGGTCTCGCATAGGAGGTTCATTGGGCAGGAAAATAGAGGCAGCCTCTAGGAGAGGGAGGAAAGAAGAGAGAAGGGGAAGGGAGACTATGGGTTTTATTGGGCCCCCATCAGCAAAGGGACAAACACAGGAGTGACACTGTTGCTGGCTTTAAAAATTAGGGAGAAAATGACTCGATCATTAAAGAGCTCACCACACTAATCTTAGCTCAGATCCTCAGTACCCACATAAAAAGCCAGGCATGGCAGCAGGTGCCTGTAATCGGTAGAGACTAGAGGACCCTGTAGCATTCTGGCCAACCAGTGAGCTCCTGGTTCAGTGAGTGACCCTGTCTCAAAAACAGAGTGGAAAGCGTTGAGAAAGACAGCCAAGATTAATCTTTTGGTCTCCACATGCAGACACACACTAGGGAAGAAGAAGACTGACTGTGCAGCTAATGCACGTTGGTAATTAGAAAAACTGTTGAAATGAGGCCAAGTCCTGTGGACCACTCACTCATCCTGCTCTGGCTTTGTCTGTTTTACTATTGCCTGGCTCCAGCTACAACCTTATTTCCATATTTACTTTGTTCCTCCCTACTCCATTCAAGCGTTTAATTAATTTCCACAAGCCAAACTAAGGCTGTAGTGCTCCAAGATGACTAACACGAAGTATGGTGGGAGTGGCAGTAGCACACATTGCTAATGTGTGTTGTATGGCTAAGTACAGTTCCAGAGAAGCAGGCGGGAAATTATGGAAGCATCTGTGCTGGATAGTTTTTTTTTTTTTTTTTTTTGATTCTCTCATATATTAATCCCAACTGCAGTTTCCCTTCCCTTCTCTGCCCTTCCTCCCTCCCCCTCATCTCCTCTCTCTCCCAGCTCCACCTACTTTTGGCTTCCCTCAGAAAAAGAGCAGGCCTTTCAGGGACACCAACCAAATATGGCAAAACAAGCTACAATAAGACCAGGCATATTCCATCACATCAAGGCTGGATGATGGAACCCAGTATGAGGGACAGGGTCCCATTAGCAGGCAAAAGAATAGCATAATCATCACCAGAGAGACCAGACTCCAACCAGCAACTGGCAGGAGAAGATGCAAAGAATCACAGCCCAGCATTAGGCAGTGAGACAGGCTAGGCTGTCTCCATGACAGGCTTTAAACTGGCAGTTCTGGAGACTAGGCCTAAAACTCTGTTTCCAAGAACTAGACAAGTCCAGACAAGTCCAGGCCCCGCCACCTGGCCTGAGGGAACAACAATGGCTTAGCAGCAATTTCCAGACTTCCTCAGCATCAGTTTCTAGCCACCTACACCCCACTGATGGTTCTGGACTGTCCCTAGAGATAGAGCAAACAGATTAAAATAGAGGTTGCCTACCCCTCCCCAAAATTCTCCTAATGTGCTTTAAATTGGGCCTATGAGTTCACCGGGGCCCCTCCATCTTGGAAGATGGTAGACCCCGGCATGCTGGACTTCTACAGAATAAAATGACCTTTGCTTTTGCATACTATTTGAGTCTGGGGTATCATTCTTTAGTGAAGCATGGACCCTTACAGCAGAGTTCTGGAAGTTCTGCTGAGGAGGGGAAGGATTGAAGGAACCAAAGGAGTCGGGACACTATAAGAATAAGGCCCACAGAATCAATTGTCCAGGGGCTGGCAGACGTCGGGGAGCCTGTTGAGGTCTGACCTAGGTCCTTTGCATATATGTGCTGGATAGTTTGATGTCAACCTGTCACATGCTAAGGTCATCTGAGAAGAAGGAACTCAGATTAAGAAAATTTGTTCTTAAGGTTGGGTTGTAGGCAAGCCTATAAGGCATTTCCTTCACTGGTATTGGGGGGTATAGGAGAAGCTCGTTGTGGGTAGGGCCACCCCTATGCTGGTAGTCCTGGGTTCTCCTGACTCCAGAGCTCTGCCCTGACTTCCTTTGATGATGGGCTGTGATGTGGAAGAGTAAGCGGAATGAACTCTTTGTATCCCAATTTGCTTTTGGATATAGTGCTCCATCACAGCAATAATAACCCTGAGGCAGCATCCAAGTGTGACGTGATATCTAATCTGGCCAGGGAAAATCACGGAAAGCTCCTTCAAGATGCAAGCTTGACAAGCATCTTTTTTTTTTTTTTAAGGAAAGATAAATACATTTGTGAAACAATTTAAATACTTTCTTCTCACTGTTGTCAGAATCTACTCCGCAAGTCACCATAGGCACAAAACCATTTCTGTCCAGGCACTTCTTTGGAAGCCTTGTGTCTGCCTAGCCCAACTGTGGCCCAAAGTAGTAAGTGAATGACCACACCCAGGACTAACTCAACCAGCGGGAGCAAAGTCAGTAAGTGCACTGCGTCTGGCTCTTCAGAAGAATCTGGTAAGCATTCTGATTACTGCTTGGCAGTTCCTAATGAGTTGAGCTTCTACTGTCCATAGCAAAGATATTGAGGACATGGCTAATTGTACCAGTCTCTATGAGTCTTTTCTTCCCTGCTTCACAATGCTGCTTCCTATGGTCAACTAGAAAATATTCTATCTGCTCCCCAATCTCCTCCATATGCTCTATGTCCAAAAAAGTCCAAACAAAAACACTAGTCATGCAGAAATAAAGAGGTATGGGTTCTCTGAACAGGGCATGAATTCTATTACAAAACTGAGCCCTTAAATCAATCATACCAGCTGGAAGTGTCTCAATAATTTACAATCTCTGTTGGCTTTTTACTTTGAAAAGATCTTTTGTTGTGAAATGCTTTCTCTCTACAGAAGAGAGAAGCCTTTAGTATAAATATATGATTTAAAGAATGAAGTGGTCATCCTTGTACCAATTCACCCAAGCTTAAGAAACTGAACAAAACCACTGCTTAAAAAAAAAAAAAAACAACTCTACCCCTTCCATCCTCATAGGTACATTTTGTGTTGCATGTTTCATCATAATGAAAGACTATCTAATATTGCCTTAGTTAGGGTTTTAATACTGTGAACAGACACCATGACCAAGGCAACTCTTGTTAGAACATTTAATTGGGGCTGGCTTACAGGTTCAGAGGTTCAGTCTACTATCATCAAGGCATGAGTATAGCAGTGCCCAGGTAGGCCTGGTGCACTCAGGAGGAGATGAGATCCAACATCTTCTTCCAAAGGCAAACAGGAAAAGACTGGCTTCCAGGCAGCTAGGACGAGGATGTTAAAGCCTATGCCCATAGTGACACACTTCCTCCAACAAAACCATACCTACTCCAACAAGGCCACACCTCCAAATAGTGCCACTCCCTGGGCCAAGAGTATTCAAATATTAACATGAGTATGTCTCTCTAAATGTTATATAGTTTTGTCTTTTCTGTTTTTCTTTTTGATTCTCTTCATGTCATAGGTAGTTTCAGTTGTCAACTTGACATACCTGGGAAGAGGAAACCTCAAATGAGGAACTGCTACCATTTGTTTGATCTGTGTTCACATCTGTAGGTCACTTTCTTGTTTGCTGACTGATGTAGGTAGAGAGTCTCAGTCTAAGTTCAGCAGTGTTATTCTTTGGCATGTGGTCCTGGGGCTAGGAGTAAGTCAGTAAGTAATGTTTCCACCTTGATTTCCTGCCTTGGTTTCCTGTGATATAATGTTATCTGCAAGTTGAAATAAGGCCTTTTGTTCTCCAAGTTTGTTTTGATCAGTGTTTTATCACAGTAACAAGAAGCAAACTTGAGCACTGAACACCAGTCTTCTGATTTCTCTATGGTGTAGCCTGGTGCAGAAACAAGGCTCTAGCCATTGTTTTATTGATGGACATACAGGTTGCTAGTGTCTGTTATTTTGTAGTAATGGATACACTGTGGGCATCTTTGTATATCTTCTAGAGTGTGTGCACAAACGCTGCACGGTGTGGAAAACTGGGTTGTATATGTGCATGATCAACTTCGACATGTGATACCACGTAATTGCACTGAATACCATGCCGGAAACTGTGTGACCACTCCCATTTTGCTACATCATCTCTAACAATCTGGTAGTGTCTGATTTCTTTTGCTAGTATAGGAAAGGTTTAATTGTGTTCTAGTGATTGCCATGAGTTCCCCTTTTTAATGGTTACTGAACAAATTTACTTAAAATTTTATTCTATTTGTGGTAGTTTCTGTGACATTGAAAGGTTTTTGTTATCTATGTACATCACCTCCCTTTTATTTAGAATTTTGTTAATTTATTTCAAAAAGTT